TTAGTTCTGTATGATTTTATTTGCTTTAGTAAGTAACCTTTATAAAGTAACGCTTAGAAAATACCCCTCTCAGTCTCACTAGAGATTTTCCTTTTAGCTGAAAGCGTTGAGGTGAATTGTTAGTGTAGGATTCCCCTTTTTCTGCCTTGACGTAGCAGGTGAGCTAACACTTGGTCCTGGCAGTAATACTAAAAACCTCCAGTTATTTAAATGTTCGTGGGGTTTTGGGATAGTGTTGATTGGCTCAACACATAAAATATCAAAAGGACAGTGGAGATACAACAGGTAGAGGGCCCTGCCCGTGAGCTTACAATCTAAAGGTTAAAATGGGGAGATGAGACAAGAGGTAGCAGAGGGATTTGTATGTGATGGCAGAGAGAGTTAATAGTACAACTGCAGCAGCTGATAGCATGTGAAGGGAACGAGGAGGTGATTGGCTGTGGTTCTTACAAAATACGGTGCATAAATCAAAACACTTAACTGAAATTTGTTTGTCTTTTAGATACCTTCAAAGTCGAAAATAAAAAGAGCAATAGTGTAAAACCTTGTGCGTAGGTAGAGGGTATTGTGTATGGCATATACCAATGAACCCAACCACTGATCCCCAACCACTTTGCTTGCCCGAAATAATCAAAACACAGACTTACGTGGTGAAAATAGGCCACAGCTTTATTAAATATATATAAATCTTTAAACTTCAACTTTATAACATAAAAATCATATATACATAACTTACTCTTTAAATATATACGTCACTGAGTACCAACTAAAAGTTGCCAACTAAAAAACAAATCACTTCGGCAGCACAAGACATCTTGGGCCTTCCATTCTCGTAATGCTAACGACTAGTCGATTATTGGCTCAGTGGGCACGTCTGTTATCCATACCTGTACCTGAGGTTAGAGGAGGGTCAGTCCTACCCATCCACTTTCCAGGGACCGCTGGTCCAACCCCTGGTTGACAAGGGCCATATACCACCACAAGCCCTGCTGGTTTACCCCCTGATAGGCCGTCCCAACACCAAAGCCATGGACTCCTCCAACGCATCCTGTAACACCAAATTGAACAAATTAAGTCCCACCTCTGTAAGGTGGACCCCATCACCCCTAAAATACATAGCTGCATTTTGCTTAAAGATGCGGTGACACACCGTGAGCCCCCATTCCCTTAACAAATTTAGACACCCGTTTGTTTAGCTTGATCCTACTCTGCTCAAGTGCCCTAGGGTCCCTCGTACCCCTTCAATAATTCCAGGACAGCACCTTAGACCGAACAATACAAAGTTTCGGGAACTTGAGCCATAACTCGGCCAAATCCTTCTGGATCATTTGACCCAGATCCCACACCGGAATAGTGCAAAGATAGTTTTCCCCCAGATGAATTATGAGCACATCAGGGACGTCGAGTAAGTGAGCCAACCGGACCATTTCAGGCAACAGGTGAACCCAGCGCATGCCCTGGGAACCAAACCAGCGGACATCCGCCCCCACTGGTGACAGACCAAGCTGCAGCCCCCAGGGAAAAACTTCAGCCTGCTGTTGTGCCCAAAAAACAGAGACAAAGGGGGAAACGGAATCAGTCCAGCACGACAAACAGAAGAACGGAACCTCGTAGATTCCCACCTCCCGATCCGCTGGATAACCTCCTCAGAAAACCCCAGGCATGATGCCTCAGTGGCAGCCCCTATCTGAAAGGAGTGCCCCCCCAAACTCAGCACTAGGTAATCCCAAGTCCTCCAACGCCATGCGGAAAACCCTGATAAATTGGAATCAGGATAAGAAACTGGCATTTCCGTGCACCAACAAGGGCCCGCACACGTGGAGCGAACTTTGCAGAATGCATGAAAACAGGCCACTGGACAAACCACCGAACCCTGGATCTGCCATAACGTGACCCAAGTACCCCGGCCAAGAACATCCGTCTTGGACTTATGCAGAGGAAAACGCACCGTCCCAACCTCACAAAAAATATTGCCAAACCTCTATCCCCCAAGGACCGCTTTGGATGGACTAACAAGCTCCCTGCAGCAGCCGAACCACAAGAGGGAAAGATGCTGACAAACTGTTAATGGCCAGCACCACCCCCATATTATCACAGTGGTCTCTATCCTCCGATCTGGTAGAAGATCCCCCCAGAGCTCCATCACAACCACTATAGGGAAAAGTTCCAAGAAGGCTAAATTCCTTGTTAAACCCGCGGCATGCCAAGACTCCGGCCAGGAGTCTGCGCACCAGTGGGCCCCAAAGATGGCCCTAAAACCCACCGCCCCGGCTGCGTCAGTCAAAAGATGGAGCTCAACATTGGACACCTCAGGAACTTGCCAATAGGAATGCCCATTAAAACCTTCTAATAAGACACACCAGACTGCTAAGTCCTCTTGCGGGGGAGGAACCCCGCGACCGCCAGGCGGAGAGGCGGCAATCACCGTGGAGGCCTGAAGACGAGCCAGCAGGTGCAGACCCCCATCTTGTAAAGCCTCAGCCATGAGGGCAGAAAGGACAGCCTCAACGTCCATACTGAGACCCTGGCCAAAAAAACAGAACTTTGCAAGCAGGTACACAAGGAAAGCAAATACCAACGGAACTACCAAGCTTAGCCTGCAAAATGCCCACCTATTTATACTGTCACACTCCTTTGCCCCTAGTCTTCCTCCCACCATTCTAATGACCTCCTTACCACTTTATCTATACACTCCCCCTCACACTCACATGTCCCTGTCATGTTTAGGCCTTGCCCCACTTCTTAGGGTCTTTAAAATTGGTGTTTAGCACTAAAATGCCAATGGAACAGTGTGGTAGCGCCTATAGAAAGAAAAATATTCATTATATTATTAAAATGCAAAAACAAAAATGTATTGAGATTTAAATATTGTTTCCCTGCTGGCACGCGTCCCTCTCTTCGGTGGATATCCCCATGCAGGTATCCACCGGAGAGAGCGCTCTCCTGGGCAGCTACGAGCCTAACCTCGTAGCTCCCAGGTGGGGGGGGACAATGACTATAGTGCTGTTGGGAGCGAGTAGGATGATCATGGAACTGGAGACAGAGTACGTATGCCATTTTGGATTACGAATGCTGCCCCTGGTTTTTGCGTTCGGTTACATGAACCAGCGACACCCCAGGGGAAGCATGCGCCGCTTGTTTTCCTTGCGGTTTGCAGTTTTCACACCTCGTTACCACTTAGTGTGCAGAGGTTAAGGTCAGTGGGTGCTTTTAGCTCTGCCCCCGCTGTCGTTTAGCTCCGCCTATGTGTCGTGTTAAGCTCCACCTCCACCGCGCATGTGGCTCCTGCTGCCTTCTTAGGTGTTTCTTTTTATTTTTTTATAGTCCAGGATGGAGAATAATGAAGTTCTCCACCCGAGTGGGCGGACCTGCAGTACAGTCACAAACACATAGTTACAGACAGACAGTCACAGACAGTTACGGGCAGACAGTCTCACACACACACACACTAGAATGGGGAGGGAAGGCACTGCAGTTCCTTGTACCTGGCAGTTGGGGAAGCAGGGGCTCCTTCCTGCTTCCCACTTAGTGTGCGGAGGTTAACGGCAGTGGGTGCTTTTAGCTCCGCCCCAGCTGCCATTTAGCCCTGCCTCTGTAATAATGAAGTTCTCCACCCAAGTGGCCAGACCTGCTGTATAGGGGTGCTCTATGCACCCCCTAACTCCCGTCACCTGGGGCATGTGCATGCTATGTCAGCAGCATGATGCCCCCTGCAGGCATAGTGCCCTGTGCTGCCGCACAGCTCGCACACCCCTAGGGCTGGCCCTAACCACACTGTTCAATTGGCATTTTAGTTCTAAACACCCATTTTAAAGACCCTGAGGCCTAGACAGAACAGGGACATGTGAATGTACATGCGCAGAGCGTATAGAATAGACAAACAATGCGCAGAATGTACGGCATAGACAAACAATGCGCAGAATGTACGGCATAGACAAACAATGCGCAGAATGTACGGCATAGACAAACAATGCGCAGAATGTATGGAATAGACAAACAATGTGTAGAATGTACGGCAGAGACAAACAATGCGCAGAATTACGGAATAGACAAACAATGCGCAGAATGTACAGCATAGACAAACAATGCGCAGAGCGTATGGAATAGACAAACAATGTGCAGAGCGTATGGAATAGACAAACAATGCGCAGAGCGTATGGAATAGACAAACAATGTGCAGAGCGTATGGAATAGACAAACAATGCGCAGAGCGTATGGAATAGACAAACAATGCACAGAATGTATGGAATAAATGTGCAATGAGAGGAACAAATCCTTTGCACCGATTCTTTGACTTCATCTTCCTCCGATAAAATCTCATTTTTGTCCTAGGATATCTTGTATCAGGTTTTGAATGTGTTAAACTTCACTTTGCTTCAGAAATATGAAAATTCCAGTTGAATATTTATAGATTTTTCACAAACCATATTAACTGGCAGTTACTCTGACACCCAAGTCACATTTCTGATAATACCATAAGGCTGCAGCCAGGGGAGGGCTGGCATCCTCAGACCTGGGGGGCAAATCCAGTCAAGTGGCCCCTTGCACCCCCGAACCAGCTCACCATCCATGCCCACCTTTTCCTGTTTTTATAACAGATATTGATGTTATGCTAATCAGTAGCTCTTTGCCATACCCACTCCTTTGTGGCTCCTACTTTCAATGTTGTTAGAGAGCAGACTGAGAATCTCTGAGCCTGTGCTCTGACTCACTAACTAACCACAAGGGAGAGGATATGATCTAAGGCACCTACTGCACCAGTAGACCACTAGGGAATCATTTAAATTAAAGGGACACTCCAGTGCCAGGAAAACAAATTATTTTCCTGGCACATCAGGTTCCCTCTCCCACCCACCCCCCCATCAAATGTTGCTGAAGGGGTTAGAACCCCTTCAGTGACATACCTGAGACCTCTGCCCACGCTCCACCTCCATTGACGACATCCGGCGGGGTAGACCGATTGCGCATGCGCGGCCGGCGGCGGGGGAGACCTCTCCATAGGCGGGGGAGATCTCCCCATAGGAAAGCATTGAAAATGCTTTCAATGCTTTCCTATGGGGGTTTCAGCGACACTGGAGGTCCTCACATAGCGTGAGGACGTCCAGCGACGCTACAGCACAGAAAACCAGTGCTATAAACCAGGAAGTGCCCTCTAGTAGCTGTCTAGTAGACAGCCACTAGAGGAGGAGTTAACCCTGCAATGTAAATATTGCAGTTTATGAAAACTGCAATATTTACAGTTGAAGGGTTAAGGGTAGTGGGAGTTGGCACCCAGACCACTCCAATGGGCAGAAGTGGTCTGGGTGCCTGGAGTGTCCCTTTAATGTGCTGGTGTCCCAAACTTGTGAGCTGTGTTGGCCACTGGGCGCCTCTGTTGTCATGGCACCCTACGTGACCCCACAGCTTGCACACCTCAAAGGCTGGCTCTGCTGACAGACACACTGGCACTCACTCTCAATAGCACACACACAAACCCTGGCAAACACTCACTGACAGGCAGACACAGACACACACACAAACCCTGACAGACAAACACTCACTGACAGGCAGACACAGACACATACACACACACACACACACACACACAAACCCTGACAGACAAACACTCACTGACAGGCAGACACACACACACACACACACACAAACCCTGACAGACAAACACTCACTGACAGGCAGACACACACACACACACTCACTTCCAGACACACATGCACACACTTCCAGACACACGCGTACACTTCCAGACAGACAGATACACACACTTACTGACAGACACACACTCAC